TAAAAGATTTATAAAAGAAAAGAGAAAAAAATGAGCATTTTAATTGCTTATTTCAGAATGGTGACTCTATGGTGGGACATATGCATTCAGAGCTAGTGTGTTTATCGGACATTCATGGCCAGGTTTGTGAAGATGGAAAAAATCACTGCTGCTGCTGACGTCACAATAGTAGATTTTAAGATGCGCACCAACCAACATGACGAGGAGCTTGTAGCTGTTGGCATGAAAGCTTGTGGTAACCAGAAAAAAAAAGACATTCCTCCACAGATAAAATCAATAGTCTTTTAGTAATCTTGTGGAAATATAACTCCGTAACAGAAATATTGTGCTATTAATGTACTAATTCATACTAAATATCTACTTTAATTTTATATTGCACAGATACAGGACAGTATGCAAACAGTTGATAAAATATAGACAAAAAAATTTATTTATAAAGAAAGACTTTTTACTCTAACACTCATTTATATCATAACAATTTGAAATATATATTAATATGTGTATTTCTTCTTTTGCAGCAAAGTTTGTGCATTCTATGTGGAGATGACAGAAAAAATGATTGCGAAATTTGCACTAAATGATCCAGTCCTCCAGTGTCTTTCCCTCCTACGTCCAAATTCAGAGAGACAATGCCTGCTTCATCTGGTGAGTAAATTATAATTGGAAATAAAGTTGACACAAGATAATGCTTTATGTATTCGTATTCATAAAAATAATTAAACACTTTGATAATTATGAAAATGGCTCACATGCAAGAAGTAACAATAAAATAAAATCAGCAAAGATCTAAAACTTAATTGTTTTTATAACAATCCTGGTCCGTGATTTATGTGTAAAATAACCTAATTAATGATATAACACATAAAATCCTATACTTGCAGTTGTCCAGCTCCCATGTTGCCTTGGTATGGGTATCGCAGACAGTATTGATGTGGAATTTATTGATTATCAACTGATGTTGATCGGGTCTCTCCCTGCCTATGAAGAGGGGATGCCACTCAAAATATTGGGTAGCAATGGAAAAGCAGAAAACGCCCCTACAGAAACCACTATTTCCTATGCTTGTTCTATTAGCATTCGTCCCTCTGTCCTTGCCTCATTCTTATGCTAATCAGCATTTTGTTTAACCTTGTGTGCTTTGCAATTATACAAGGAAATTGTCTTATCCGACAGGTAATAATGAGCTAATGATGATGCATGATATAACATAAAATTAGACTGTGTTGTTGCTTGTAGCTACAGAAAATAATGTTTTTCAGACATCAAATAAACATCACATGTGTCCGTTTAGAGAGGATTTACGGACAAGAAGGAACGCCAGAAGTCGTTTTCAAAAAGGCTCAAGACTTTTCAGAAATCGGTAAATAAGTTTTAAGGCTTGTGTGTATGAGAGAAACAAACAACACCTATGATCCAAGGGCAATCATAGTGTAATACTGTATGATTCAAGAAATAGATGATGAGTTGGACAAGTTCCACAAGGTCTACAGAGACATATTTATGAATGAGTATTAAAAAACAATATGGCACGTTCATCATTATTTTACACTGGAGAATTTCAACATGACAGGTAAGTTTAAGAAGGGGTTCGAAACTGAAATGTGTTTACTTATTAGAATTAAATACAGAAAACTTTGACTTTTTACAGGTTGCCGAACAGCTACACGAGGTTCTTCAAACAGACAATTTATTTCAGAAGTAACCATCCTTCACCTTGCAATAGCAACTTCAACAAATCTACAAACTCCCAGGAGGAAAAAGAAACACAAAATGATACAGTATAAACATTTATTCAATTTACAGTATTTTTCTTAAAAGAAAATGACTTTATATAGATTGTTGGTTAAACCTGAAATGACTAAAGATCTATTTATAACAAATCACATACCAATTTTTATACGTTAGAAATTGATTTCTATATATTCTAACCCTGATGAGACTCGTGAAAGTGAAAACTTCTGTTATCATCATTAAATAAACCTTAAAACTTATCTTATGTTGATTGTTTTTTCCACTTGTATCATTTTTCTCAACAGTTTTTGTTCAGTAATTCATAATGACTATAACTATGACATTTAACTTTTGATGACATTGATCTTAAAAGATTGCTAAGATTTTAACATTAAAATCACAGTCCGCCTTGTTTTTCCCTGTCCCAAAACAAGATTCTTGTCTAGATCTAACATCCGCCTGCGTAGGATTCCATTAGAAAATTTTGCTTGTTTGTTTACAGATGCCACAGAGTGAAGCACCAGCAAGTTACCTGTCTGATTTGATCGAGCCCTTGTATGACAGAGATATTCCTCAATCAAATAATTCCTGTCACCGCTGCTGTCAGAAGGTTTAGCAGCTAGAAAGAGAGTTAGAGACCATCACTATTTGCATTCGAAGGTACTGATATTTAAAACAACTTGTATGGTAAATTTTTACTGGAGCTTAATACATCTTTCTAATTAGCTGCATCCATGCACCAAGACTATATGTTAATAACACACACAGTCAAAAGATATTCTACTTCTAGATATGCAGTTCAATTGAGTTGTAATACTACGCTAAAGTTCAAACTTGTCAAGGAGGGTGGTTTTTAGAAGGCAGTTCTTTCCTTGTTTTTGCACTTTCAGTTATAAACATACATTCAAAGTCTTGAAACCTTTCACATTAGAAAATTTTGCCTTGCTTATGGTGTTATCACTTTTAGAAAACATATTCACAAAGAAATAGAATAGTTGACAATAAATGCTTGCTGTAAAACACTGATTGCATTTTTATTTGATACAGGAGGTTAGAAGGCCAGGCAGAATAGCCTGAATGCTTCACAAAGCATGCTAAATAATATACATTGTCATCAATAAATACATAGGGTTCATTGATGATATTCTATTAATGATGTTGGTTTTTATCAATGGCAGGTACCTCTCAGACTGGGTTTGCATATGCCACATTATAAGCACCATACTAATCAGTGCTATTTGACACATGTTTATCCCACAATTCAATTTAACTATTGTGCTCTCCATGGTGACTTAAAAGAACATGTGGTGCACTATGACATTATAAAGGCCCCTGTGAGTATGCATATTTTATCAGTTCATAATATACAAATGACAAAGAAATAACTGTATATCTCTAATAACATATGACTCAAACATTAATAAGTATAACTGTATTACAAGTTTAAGTTAAAATACAGAACAAAATTATGTTTCATTTGTATTCTAACATGTCTAACCCCACATATCAATTACCAACAACTGTGGTGGCTGTTTTATTTTTGCAGGCCAAGTAACTGTACAAGACCTGTGGAAACTGAGGTAACAAATTTTACAGTTACAAAGGAAAAGGGCGTCCGTGGCCGATTCGTTAAGGTTGTTGACCTTTAACCACTTGCCCCTCACCGCTGTGGGTTCGAATCCCGACAGGGACTTTGAATTCTTTCATGTGAGGAAGCTATCGAGCTAGCCTATGCAATGTCTGTGGCTCTACTCAGGTACCTGTTCGTGCCTGAAATAATGCACGGAAGGGCACCTGAGGTCTTCCTTCACCAGTAAAAGCTGAAATGTCGCCATATGACCTATACTGTGTCAGTGTGACGTAAAACCAAATAAAGGAAAACAAAGGAAAATTGGAAGAGAATTACATATTCATTTCTTGTTATAATAACACAAAGTGTTAAGGTAAATCACCATTCATCTACAGGGTTGGCAAAAACTTTAGGCTTTATTGCTGTTATATTGCCTTATTGTCCCACAGCCAGTACGGACAAATGAATATTTTTCAGAATCTACTTTATGAATATCATATGAACAAGTAAAGAAATATTTCAATTACATTGGGCAGGTAAGTCAAAATCACATTTTGCCGGCCCTGATCTATGTATTTAATTTATAGAATCCACTTCAAACATATATGAGGATAACAGAAAGTCTTCTTCCACACCTACAAGACCAGCAACAATGGATTTTATCCAACACTAAGCAAATGTTAATTTTCCTGTCTAATTTTGGAGCACAAACAAACTTATTGCTTCACTGTGCAGTCCGGTTTAACACATAATGCTTGTTATCGATATATATACCAAGTTGTATATGTAAAAGTTTGTCTACCCTAGGATTATTTGGGAAAAATTCTCATTTGTAGAATTCCAGAGAATTTTATTTTCAGTGTTGTGCTTTAATTCAATGACCAGAGCTTAGATATTTTGCATGTAGCATATCATCACCTTGTGGCCTTCTTTAAAAGTTAATAAATCATGATTCTTATTTCCTAGTGGATATCTACAAATGTTTTAAATATTAAGCTACTTGAGTAAAAAATGACATTCTGCATTGAAGAATTGTGACCTCTCAGGTGAGCAATCCAGGGCCACTGTAGCCCTCTTGTTATTGTTTGAGTTTGTTGGGTTTTTTTTTCAGGAAATGATACAAATCAGTCTTCGGGACACATTGTCTGATAGAGCTAGTATTTATGAGCCGCCAAACGGTAAATCTTTATTATGTGATGGAAGGAATTCAGGTTTGAAAATAATTATCATTTACATTGTAATCTGTCCTAAATGCTTTACCAAAGTTTTTAAAGTTTGAAAGTTTGAGTTGGAAATTAAATTATATGAATGAACTTGATGAAGAACAAACAAAAAACATTTGACTTTATGTTGCAACTATCTAAATGTCTACTTGTTTACTAAGAAGAAGAAAGCAAATTCATCTTTGTAAGTACATGTATCATTTTAATAATTTGAGAACATTTTATCATTTAGGTTTGTTTTGAAAAACATAATAGTAACATTTTAATTAGTCTGAAGAATAAGCTTATTTCATATTGCTCAATACATGCTGAGGGAAATTAAAGAAGTTCCTTATTTTAATTGCAGAAAATGATTATATCGTCTATGTTGTACAATTCAGTGAGTGAGCAAATGAGCAAGGGAGACAACACATACAAAACTCTAGGTGTTTAGCAGTTCAGAGTAATTTATTTCCCCTAGATTATTATTATAGCTACAGTGATGGTGGAGAGGTGAGTTTAGCCAGCCGTGAAGAAACTCGAGTATTATATTACCTTTAGCTGTGTGCTATATTCTAGTGGGCCATAACACAAAACTATTTATACCGTACACAAAAAAACTACATGTGCTAACTCTCAGCAAAATTTATGTGTACATAACAAAAAAAATATCATATCTAGTTTGGGATTTCTATTATGTGAGTTAAGTTTAAGCAAAAAAAAAAAAGTTCAAGAAAGTATCATGTAAGTATTGTTTATTATCTTTCTCTTTTATAAACCACTGTAAATAAAAACATTTAAAGCATCACAATACATTACAAGGAGATATCTACATGTAAAATGCCACTGTATTTGCTCACGAAGTTGATTATTTGTGAGTGAAATGATTTAAAAAAAGCAAGAACCTGGCAGTAAAAGATTTTTGTTTTTTTTGTTCAGAAGGTTTAAAGGTAAATCGTTTGATTGAGGTTTATTAGCAAGGTGTATAGGAAAAATGATCTGTTTGTGAACATTTCTGATATCATCTTAAAAGTTTATTCCTTGTAACTAGAGCTTTCTGGGCTAGATGAGTGCTTGTAAAATACACAATTTATGACAAGATTTGATAAATATGAGAACACCTACTTCAATATATGGATACTTAAATGTGTATTTTGTGTGAATTTGCTTCTGACATCTTTTTATAAAAAAGGTAAATATATTACTTATTAATAATAATTTTTTGAAATATTACTGGTTTATTTTCATTCCATAATGAACAAAAAAAACCCTTAGTGCTGTGATATTCTAGTATGATCTTTTTTAGAGTTAATTATACAACTGTTATTATAAATATTCGGTAAATCAGAAAGCAATGGTGTTTATGTATGCTAGTTATTGAAAAAGTAAATTTTCTCAAACTTAAAGATAATTTAATAATTTTACAATAAAACCCTTTCAAGACAGGTAAACACATCTCGTTCATAGTACTGAAGATTGGCATACATATTTGCTAATGGGGCCAGTATTCCAGGTCTGTATTCCAAAAAGACCCGCATTCCAGGTCTGTTTTCCAAAAAGACCGGGATTCAAGGTCAATATTTCAACAAGACTGGCATTCCAGGTATATATTCCAAGACCTGTTTCCAGGTCAATATTCCAACAAAACCAGTATTCCAGGTCTATATTCCAACAAGACAAGTATTCCAGGTCTATATACCAACAAGACCGGTATTCCAGGTCTATATTTCAACAAGACCAGTATTCCAGGTCTATATACCAACAAGACCGGTATTCCAGGTCTATATTCCAACAAGACCAGTATTCCAGGTCTATATTCCAACAAGACCAGTATTCCAGGTCTATATTCCAACAAGACCGGTATTCCAGGTCTATATTCCAACAAGACCAGTATTCCAGGTCTATATTCCAACAAGACCAGTATTCCAGGTCTGTTTTCCAAGAATATTATACTGAATGATATACCAGATCTATTGGCCAACATTTAGACTGGTATATCCATTGTTGGAATATAAAGTGTTGCATTTGATTCATTTTCTTCCATAAAAATGAAGGATTTATTTATTTTGTAAATACAAGAATGAAAACTAAGCATCTATCAGTTAATTGTAGAAGGTTCTGTTATTCTTAGAAGTTACCCTGACATATAATCCCTTATTTTATGGAATCAATTTGATTAAATTCAATGAATTTTTTTGAACAAAGAGTAAACCACCTGATCCACACCTTTTTTCATAATTTTTGGCTAAATTGTGACTAATATCAGTACTATACTTTGAATTCTAGTATATGTGTAATACATCAACATATATTCCAAAACTTTATAGCTCAAAGAACAACTTTTTACAACAAATTTTATAAAAAAGAAGAGTTTATACTTTAAATAAGTTTGTCATCCATTTTGATCATTTAATCTATGTTATGATAATAAAGAAAATGTGATTCACAGAAATTGATGATTCATGAAGTCTTAATGCACTATTTTTTCCCAAATTTAATGGTAAAATTCCTAATTTATGGTCTTTTAAAATTATTATTTAAGCAGACAAGTACATTTTTGACTTTCAGTAAAATTCAAGTTTTTATTATAAAAAAAACTGAACCAAAACATACCTTTTACAATAACTTTACTTAGTTAAGATCTCTCAAAATGCATTTTCTTTATCTACTTCTCAATGAGTTTTCCTGAAAGAGCTGCAAAACTTCACTCATTTTCAAATTTTTTCTGTAACATAACTTTTTCGAAAAAAGAGTCTTTCACATGGTACAAGTATAATGGCAGTTTTAAATTTTTTTCGTCATAATATGTATTTGTTATCGTCATTGAAAACAACAATTATATCTAAAAATAAAAATTATCTTTAGTTTAGAAATTGCTTATTTAAAACTTACTGAAAATAAAAAAATTTAAATAAATGAAACTGACATATCACACCAAAAAAAAAAGAAGTACAAGCGCTCAAAACTTGTTTCTTGTATATAAATGCTAACTTGTTGTATTGTATTATTTAGTAGCATCTGTTCTTTATACTCTTAGTCTGCGGGCAGCTTCAGAATCTACCCATATGACCAGTGCTGGCCAATATCAGCTGGCAAGGATCATGGTCTACACTGTTTACTATTCAGTCAGTGTATATTTTGAAATTTTCCCTAAAAACGATAAATGGTCTGGTCCACATTGAAAGACAGACAAGTCCATTTAAAATATTTAGCATGGTAAATTTAAATAAAATTAAATATTCTTGATATGAAAAACCATTTTATCTGTACATGAATAAAAGAAAGATTAAGCTTTTACATAAAAATATCATGGTACAAGTCAGTTACAACAATACCGCTGCTGAGTGAAAGATGCTTTAACTTATTATTTTAACTTCATTAAGCGTTTTAAATTAAACTTTATAAGCATATAAAAATTTAAATAGATAAATCAGTACTTTCTTTTTATACAATATATGCAGTATCACCATTCTTGTTCTGGCACTCATTTATTAAACTCTTAAACTGCTGAATTTTTGTAATCAATTTGTCCAGCTTTAAAGTTAGTACAGTCTTTAAGTTTTAATGGACTATATTTCAGTTTCAAAGTATACTTATTGAGCTACCTATACAGTATAGAACCTGGTCAGACTGCATGGAGGTGTAGGCTGGCCAGGCTCTATACCGGTGCTAAAGGCATTAAGCGGTCTAAGGATTACCGCTCTTGCCGTCCTCCTCATGATTAAATTCCCTTTAATTATTAATACTGCATGTTTGTAATGTCGTTTTTCATTGGAGAATTGAGAGGTTCAAGTAGTTTTATATACAGGGTCGCTTTTTTTTGTGAAGAAATCTCTTTTTTTTTTTCTGTAAAAAAGTAAGTTTGCTGTGTTTAAATTTGTTACAAAGATTCTTGACAGGTTATATGGCCAAATGTTAATGGTTGCAATATAACCCAAGCAGTTGGTTATTTATGAAAATAACCATTTATATGCAGTAATATAACCTGTCAAGAATCTTTATAACTTATAATATATTACACACTCTCAGCCCTTACATGTTATAATACTGCATAAAGGCTGGTGTTATTTTTTAATAAATCATATAAAATGTACTCAGTTTCATTAAAAAAAAAACTGCATTATATGGGGAATGTTACATCAATAAAATAAATGTTCCTTCTTGATGTAGTGCTGTTGTTTAATGGATGTTGATAAACATTACATAAATTTATGAATATCTCCATAAATCTAGATAATTTATAGGAAGATGTGCTTTACATTAAAACAAAATGAAACATCCTATAAATTAAACAACTAAAACTTAAAGCAACATATCATATGTAATTGTTCAGAAATTCAATAAATGTTTCATTTTAGATTTTTCAAGTCTTGATCAAGCATTTTGGATATTTAAGAAACAGGAATTGATCTTAATTACTTAACAAAAAGCCTCTCACCTGACTAGAAACATAGAATAATCACTAACTCTAGCCTCAGGAATATACCTCAAGTTTGAATAGAAACATAAGAGTATTCAGTTACTCAGGACTTTAATCTCTAAGCTTAATAGAAACAGAATAATCACTAAGTTATATATAGCCTGAATATAAACATAGAATTATGATTCTCTCAGGACTTTATTTTGAGTCTGAATAGAGAATAATTACTCCTCTACCCTGAATAGAGAATAATCACTCCTGTAGCCTGAATAGAAATAGAGAATATTCACTCCTCTAGTCTGAATAGAAATAGAGAATAACCACCTCTCTAGCTTGAATAGAAATAGAGAATAATCACTCCTGTAGCCTAAATAGAAATAGGGAATAATCACTTCTCTAGCCTGAATAGAAATAGTGAATAGTCACTCCTCTAGCCTGAATAGAAATTGGAAATAATCACTTCTCTAGCCTGAATAGAAATAGAGAATAATCTCTCCTCTAACCTGAATAGAAATAGAGAATAATCACTCTAGCCTGAATAGAAATAGAGAATAATCACTCCTCTAGCCTGAATAGAAATAGGGAATAATCACTCCTCTAGCCTAAATAGAAATATGGAATAATCACTCCTCTAGCCTAAATAGAAATAGGGAATAATCACTTCTCTAGCCTGAATAGAAATGGGGAATAATCACTTCTCTAGCCTAAATAGAATTAGAGAATATGCACTTGTCTAGCCTGAATAGAAATAGAGAATAATCACTTCTCTAGCCTGAATAGAAATAGAGAATCATCACTCCTCTTGCCTGAATAGAAATAGGGAATAATCACTTCTCTAGCCTGAATAGAAATAGGGAATTATCACTTACATAGCCCGAATAATCACTTCTCGAGCCTGAATAGAAACATAATTACCACTCACTCAGGATTTTTATTACTTTAGCCTGAATATAATTATTAATCATTAAACTTTTTCTGTATCAAATTTAAAGTAGAATATATCATTTAACTTAAAAATAAAAACAACAATGAAAAGTGCTTTAAAAAGATGCACATATGAAAACCCAGACAGGTGTATGATTTTCCTAGAAATGAGGCCCATCTGATTTGCATATTTACTACTGACAAATATTGATTGATGTAATATATGTAATTATGTGAGTATAATTAAAATGATAACTATATTAGAATGATATAATTCTAGGCTAGTATTATCAAAATAATCGGGGACAAGCTCATTTATCAATTAAAATTGTAGAATATAAATGAAAAAGCTATGCCTCATGTGGGTTTAAATATTTTAACTTATATATTTTATGTTTTA